TCACTTCATTAAAAGCTAACACTAAATCTACATGTCGCAGTCAAAAGAGCCGCTCGTACAAAAACCGCCCCGCCTAGAGCCGGACACATCACTCAGTGTCACAGTCGCATTGCGAATCAGCCATTGTGGTGTCCAAAGTCGCCCACAGAAAATTTCACCGAAAACTGCGGCCCTTAGCCGTCACCACTACTTGTTACCAAAAACGATATGGCATTGTCTCCTTTGTCTTTCCAATCGCTTTTCGACTTAACTGTACACTTATTTTAAACCATTGTAGTCTTTAAACTCAGATGCTAAAAAAGGTTTTCGCTTGAAGGTACAATTGATTTAGATTGTTATGGATAGAGTGGACGGAGTATTTATGCCGTGTAAGTAAGTTTTCGACTTGGCGCGACCCTATTTATTGTGGCAACCGAAAATATGTTAAATAAATTAATTCATAATACCCAACGCAGAAAAACTAAAAGAAATTTCTTTGCTATTTTAGCACAAAAAATAGCATTATTTTATATTGCATTCACAAACGCTATATTTGTATTAATCTTCAAAATTGAATTAAAGCCTAAGATGAGATTAAAACCTGAAACCATTCGCTACCCGGGTGAATTTTTTTACCAACAAAACGCATTAAAATTCATTTTTATGACATAAATTTATCTATCCATAAAATATTAAACAACACAAACAATCTAATCTCACATCAAACAAACGTAAAAACAAACATATAATCCAACACCGCGGGCGGCCCGGTCGTTCACCCACAACTTTTCAATTAACCTTCAACTGCAACAAAACCACCAGTTTCCACGATAAATCAGGAATACTAACATCCACCGAACGGTAGCTGGGAGTCGAACCGGCTACCCGATAGCCCCGGGTCAACAGATAGCATCGCATCGGGACATTCCCCACGTTAATTGTAGTCGCAGCTTTAATTGAGGCCGTTTTGAGATACTCGCCACCATACAGACTGTGTGTGGGGGTTTTATGTCAAATGACAATAGACAAAAGTATTTTCTAATAGATGTGTTCTATTTTTAAAACTTTAATTAGTCAACGTTAAGGACGAATAGATGTCTTCTAAATTTGAATTCATTTCTAATAAAAAAGAGTAAATATACATTTTACTATTTGTAGTTTACGATGGTATTAGAATTGAACTCTTTAAAAAGTATAGCGCAATTAAAATGCCATAGTTTATGGCAACAAATAAATCTTTGTGGAATGTAGCAGATGCTTACAAACATGAAGTTAACATTCGTAAAGTCAGTCTCTGTTGTAATAAAACAATCCTTTTAAATAAAAATAACTTGCAATTTTTTTGTTTTTAAAATAATAATAATATCAGTATAATCTATTTTAAAAATGGAACCAATACTTTTCTATGACATTAAAGAGTTAGATGTATAATTAAAAAAAATATTATTAAACACTTTGTGTGTATTATTATTATTACAGTTATCTGTCAATTTTTTCTTGTATCAATAGCCATCCTTTTTCTCGCAAGAACTTCCCAATGATCTAAGATTTAAGTGACTGGGCATATTCATGCTGAATCGATTAAAACATAAAGGAAATAAGTAATTTATTACACTTATTTTCAGCGGAAATCGTGTAATCACAAATAAAAGCTTACGCGAGACAGGTTATTATCACGATCAGTTTCTGTTCTCGAATGGTTCATTAATGTTACTCGATGTGGCGTTAATTTAACTGATTGGCATTCTTTAATCCTTCCGGAATTGTTAAAGGGGATATAGGTATAGGAATTGAACACGTTTTAAATCATCACATACCAAATAACGGCTATGAAAGAATTAAAAAAAATCTATATGTCATATATTGATTTCTTATAAATTCACGCGCACTATCCATAAATGAAAAAACTTTTAAACGATTTCATTGCGTTTGTATTTAGTTGATAGAGTAAATTAAATTCATTCTTCTATATAAGATATGTTTTAATATATTTTGATAATATGTATAATTTACAATTTTGAATGATGTAGCATTTTATATTTTTATCAATTCAAATATTAGATATTCAAATATTATTAGAGAATTCAGAAATTAAATTTTTATCATAAATATAAATAGTTACCTTTTTCAAAGAAGTATTCCTTTGGAAAACATAGTATGTAGAATTATACGCTATAAGCACCTACCTAACACTGCGGTTCTATGACGTAATAGATGAGCAATAGGTAAATCTAGCTCGTAATTGTTTAAAGAGTACAAAAGTATTATGTTGATATTTGCACAACTGTATAGCCACAGAAAAAAAACTAAGATTTCCAATTCTAAAAAAATACATTCAGTAAAGGACATAGTTTAATATTGTAGTATTTTAATTTTCACGAGAATGTAAAAAAGTTTGTATATTTAGAAATTTTGAAAAAAGAAAATGGCCATTTCAGTATAAAAACTCATTGTTTCATGTTTCAGCAATAGTAAATATCGCTCAATAGTAAATATTTAAATTCATGGCGAAGGTATTTGAATCATACAGCCACGTTAACATTTTTCATGCTCTTTTATAGGTATTTCATATAAAACAAGGCCAAATCTTCTCAAATTAAATATTCAAATAAAGCCCGCAAAGGAATTTGAATAAAGAACGAACCTGAGCCGTATTCTGCCAATATTGAATCGAATTTCATAAGCGACTATTATAAGTTTATTCAAAAATTAGTAATTAAGAACGAATTGAAGCAATGTTTAGTATTCTAATTATACAGAATGATACCTAAGAAGGCCAAGCCGGGTCGTCGAACCGACGTGGGTGCGCGGCATTTTATATGCGTTCTTTTTATCATTCGATATTATAACGTTAATAGTTTTTTAAAGACTTTTCGTATTTAAAAACGGAACAGTTTATTGATAACCACGTGGTTGCAGCGGGCTTTTAAAGTATGATCTTTGTTTTGTGAGATACTTTTTTTAATGATACATTTTATATCGAAGCTCTAATAAAAGATGATACTGTAAGTATATTATCTTTATAAGTTATAAATAAAACGTAAATAAAGATGCAGATTATATCTATTGACTAGTTTTAATGCAAAATTTTATAGACTTTTAATAGACCATACCATAGACCTTGCTCGTAAATTAAACCATATTTTTATTGACAATACTTATTTAAAAAAACATTTTATAAATTCAGTACCTACATCTTTAATGTTATAGTTTTTTAACTAAAAGCCTCATAAAATTCATCATCGTTCAAATTCATTATCATCAATCCTTTTACGTTCCCACTGCAGGAGCTCAGGCCTTATATAAGGATGGTCAAAAAGGGGGATGGTCCATGAATCTCCACGCTGGCCCAATGCGAATGAGAGGGTATCAACGACTGCAAAGATAACCGAGTCTAACAGCTTAACGTGCCTTCCCAAGCACGGAGTAGCTTGGAATAGTAATTTGTGGCCACCCTTCCCCGCAACCTACCCTTCCGAAAGCTGCTTCACAACAACGTTCGAGGGCCACGCCGCTTATCCACTACTCCACCGAGCTATTTATCTAAATACTCTACGTCAAAGTAATAAAATAAAAGACAGTAACTCGATGTCGCAGTAGATAACGATGTGGATGTTAAGCTATTTGTCTTAGGCTAGTCATGGGATGGGTGACCTAACATTTATTAGCGAACTTTTTCATACTTTAGAAGGTTACGACGTTGGTCCCGACTGCATCTACAGCCGTTAACACCCACTGATTTGCACTGGGCCTGTATTATGGATCTTTCTCCTTATTCGATTCCTTCCATATGTGAACTTGTGCCCCAATAGTAGTTACATTAATAGGCTGTTGGTAATAATGGTGGTTTGGAGAAATTTGGTCACTTTTGAATATTCTGATGTGATGTTGATTGTACATTTCGTCATTATTATATAAGTGTCTATAGTTATATTAATGGACGGCCTCTTACATTATTTATTTTCTTTGGTTAGAACAAGGTAGATTTCTTACTTTTCTTAAACACCACACATATTTATCCTGTTAATATTATAAATGTGAAAGTTTATTTGTATTAATAATTGGATGTTTGTCCGTCAATCACGCCGAAACTACTGAACGGATTTTAATGAAATTTGGTATACAGATAGGGTAATAGCTAACTAGATAATATGATACTTTTTATCCCACTAAACATTTCCCTAGGGACCATGCGGGCAAAGCCGCTGGTATGGCTGGCTGGTAGTATGGTAAAAAGTATATAATAAATAACAACACAAAACATATCTTACCTCATATTTTGAGTCTTCATATATAAAATACGTTAAATAAATGAAAAAAAAAATATGCCGTACTTTCCGGTTGTTCAACTCTACTATTTAATATTAAACTACCTACCTACATATTGTAGTATTTGCGGAAACCTATTTTCTAAAGAAGGCTTCGATATCATTCTAATAATTCATAATAAATAACTTTAAAATTATTCAATACGGCGAAAGGTAGACCTTATCTTTCTTAGAGGAATTTTAATAATAGTCTCAAAACAATGCGTAAACAACTCTAAACTCCTAGCAATAGAGTGGAAAATGTCATTTCCTTTACAACAAACGGTGATCCAAAACGATACATACAAAAGTAAAATTTATTGGGCTTGTTTTAAAATCTGTAATGCCTTGCTCTAGCTCCTGTGAGGTATCGAGTTTCGTTCTCACTCCGTCAGGTGTCGCTGGCGGCGGCGCCGCTTTGTTTTTTCTCACTTTTGTTCTAAAGAGTGTCGATAAAAACGACGGGAAGCGAACTCACAGAATAAGGATCTCACAATACTCTTTCAGTGAATTTGAATGAGGCGTTCGATGTTTGGGGCTCGGTTCCTTACGCGCGCTTTACATTTTTGTTTTTATTTACAACGCCGTCGCCGGTTCGATTATTCTAAATTCAAATTTGAATTCGACAAAAGTAATCTCGGTAAAGACTTTTTTAAAGTTTTAAGAAGTTGAAACGAAAGTAGAAAGTAAGTTCCTTTCCGTTATTTTTTTTTTGTAATTCATTGAATAGTCCATGAAATATTATTCGCAGTATGTTGAGTTATTATAAAAGTTTCAAATTATTCTAACGATTTCAAGGTTTAATCTGTTTATTCAGTTCAAATTGGATTGTCTGCTGTAGTTTTTGTCAATTTGGTCTTCTGTAGTTATCTAATATGTTGTTATCAGCAGTACACAAGATATATGATATTAATAATTATACAATACTGTTTAAAAAAACGTTTAAAAGTTAACCTTTTAAAAGAAACAATAAACTATTAAATAAAAGTAGTATTTTAGTGAAACTGCAAATCGCTACTACACTGTAGCGCGATGTAACATACAAAATCTTTTACGAAAATTACCTAATAAATGTTTTATTTCAAAACACTGTTTAGGTTTACGACTTCTCCTATGATTAAATGGACTTTGACCATTGAAAAGTTGTAAAATCGAACGTATGCAATCATCCTTAACCTATACTTATTTGCTTTGTTAAAACAAGTTCTACAATTTCTATTACTTTACGCTACATAATAGTATAATAAAAGTTACTTGTCTATAAATGCATCATGATTTATCTGTCTCAATTAAAACATTGCAATAAAAACAACAAAACAACTAACGCATATTTAAAAAAAAAACTAAAACTTTTACTTTCTCTCTATCTTCACTGTAGGGAAGAAAAGAGACAAACACAATAGTGTAATTGCTGTTGACCTTAGCGTATCCAGAATCGGGCTTTATAGTGAAACGATAGCATCGCAATTTAGATTTACGTATTATTAATATCAACACTAACCAATCTTTCAATTGTATCTGTAAATCATTCATTCGAATCGTAATACATACAAACGATATTGTGCGCTTCTGCTCAGCTATATAGTCTCTTTTCTACGCCTTACTAATAAACTAAGGAGACTTTTACTGTGATAAGTTTCCTTGTTTGTTGTACTTACTCGAACAAAACATGTTCTCAGAATTATCTACAGGATATTCAGTATTTACCTGAAAAGAGAAAAATCAAAGATTAGAACTATAATAATATAACTTGCTGTGAAGTTTATGCCGAATTATTTCCAAATACAATACATCAACCCTGCTAGTTGCCAAACATAGATTTATATTAATGAAAGAATATTTAAAATTCGCCCTTTTGTTTTGGTTTATCAAGTACTTTACCATCAAGACTCAGATTTTCTCTTTTTAAATTAGTGTAGATTATTAATGAAAATTTAAGTTTGTGTAATTTGAGACACTATTGTATTTCTAAAGTTTAATGGCCTTCAAAACAACCCCATGATCACTGAAGTAAGATTTCGGTCGGATTAATAGGTATAATTAAAAAAAAGAATAGTCTTACCATCGGACAATTAATATTTCACAAATTCAGCGTCATCATCATCAGCCCTTTTACGTCCCCATTGCAGGTACTCAGGGCTTCCCTATGGATGGTCAAAAAGGTAGGGCCATGACCGTCCACGCTGACCCAATGCGGATTCGAGATCAACGACGGGAAATGCAGCCGGGACCATTGGCATTGACAAATTTTTGCTCACCCATCCCTTGTTCAATTTGCTTAACAACAACGATCGCGGGCCGCGGCTCTGCTCCACTACGCCACCGACCTACTTTTTCCAATTGAAACTATTTAATATTCCGATAAATAATAGAGCAGAAGTATGTATGTTTCTTTATTATTTTTTAATTTCACAGTCTAGTTTTAGATATTACACATAACTAATAACCCTTAGGAGGCTATTAATGGAAGGTGAAACCGTTAAATACAACTAATATAAGAAGTAATAATTAATAGTTATCAATATCCGTTTTATAACACCATGTCTTTTTTATCGTTACTTAACTCTTTATACTGTAGAGTTGAGTAGGTAGTGAGCGAGTGATATAAATATTACACGTCTTTTCAAGTACTTACATAATTAGTTCACTCATTTGAAATATATCCTTGCCAGCATAACTAATTGTGAACTTATAATATTAATCATTTCTCATAAAATATATATCATAAGAGAAGCATTTCCAGCATTTTCATATCAATATCCTTATGAACTAATTAGATTTATCTACGATAGCTTTTAACATCTCTTTCAACTCAAACTTAATATCTTTAGTTCCTGAATCGATCGTTGATAGAATCAAGTTATTCCACTCGGAGCTAAAAATAATAGATTACAGATAAAAAATACGCATCTATATTTTCATTAAAAAGTAATTTAGTTTATATATTAAGGATTAAGCACATTTTAGTTAAATGTACCCGCAATAATATTTCTCAACTAAGTGTAGACATAAAAGGTCAATTATTTTTATTTTTTAACACAGTAGCGTTTTTCAAATGGATATTTTTTTTAAGTTTCGTTCGCGAAGGTGTTTTATCTTAATGCGTTTCTCACGAGTCTAAGTTGTTTGGTGCCAACGTTAATGCTACGTACATTTGTAACGTCAAGATTGCCATTAATTGATATATAATACTTGAATATTGGACCAAATTTTCGTATCAGTAGTGGGTGTGACATCACTAATATATCACATTTAAAATGGTTTTAGGTACATGTGAAAATACTGTTAAACTTCGGAGTGTGGTCAACCTCTTTTCGAAAAATTCTTGTTCATCTATACTAATATTATAAAAAGGAATGATTCGATTGTTTGTTTGTTTGTAAACTACTAGACTGTTTTTAAAAGTTCTATCACCTACAGGAAGCTACATCAAATGCGGTGAACATAGGCTATATTTTATCTTGAAAAACAGCAAATAAATGGATAAAATGGGATTGGAAATTTGTATAGGAAATTAAAAAGTTTCCATGGTAAATTGTTTGCTATTCAATCTCTCATTGTAATTATATCCATGTTATGATGTAAATCGATATCCTAATAAACTTAGGGACCACGCAGACGCAGCCGCTAGTATATTATAAAAAGAGTATATCAATCTTAATACAATAAATACTATACATCCAAACACTACGTAGCTGAGACTATTTAATAAGATTGTCGATAATAAAAAAAAAAAAATATAAGGATGTTTGTAGGTGTAGTATACATATCTTTTCTTATATCGATGGCGCAGTGGTTAGCATGTTGGGTCAATACGAAAGTTAAGCAATTTCAGCAAGGCCGGCCCCAGGATGGGTGACCAAAAATTTATGAATTATATTTAAACAATCAAGTTTAAAATAAATTCAACATTACTCAATAAAAAGTTTTATAAGTATTGTATTATATGATAAAAAATACCGGTTTCAAATTAGCCTACAATAAAATATCAGCGAGCTTTTATAACAGATAGTGGTATAAACATCATTAGAGCTAAATCGACATTTACATTCGTATGGGAGGATAATTAAAAGAAAAAACGACTCGCTCTGTTCATTTGGAGATCTGGTTTTATTGCGAGAAGTTACTGGGAATGTCAATCAAGTTTATGATATTGAACAGCTGACTGGACTTATAGTTTATCCCGATGAGAATATATGAAGGCAAAATTGGATATAAGACCTCCATGGCCAGTGGCTCTTGCGCTGGTTTGAAACTCATCTCTGAGGTCCCAGGTTGGATGTGGTCTATGAACTTTACTATATTATCGGTATTCCAGAGATAATACAAGTCTAGCTATTTGTTTTACTATCTGAGCAATGTATGTGATGTTAACTCATATATGTTTTTATATGCAAGAAATATTTTTGATCAATACACAAAATTTTACATACCATTACTGTAAGTTATACAGTAGTTTAATGACCGATTTTTATCGATCTACTTATTTTTACGGACTCTTTACAAGTATTATTAAACTTAAATAATATGTTTAGTGCCTTTTCCAGATAAAAAAAAATACAAAATACTTACGGCTTTACTAATAAGCAATATATAAGCTTTTTATAGTAATACAGCGGTTTTTTTTTTTTCTATTTTAACCGAAAAGTCACGTTGGACCGACGTGAACAGTGTGTAACTAAACAACCATTTTAAGTTACTTATTTATAAAAGTATTAAAATATTACTGCTTGATTATATAATCACTTAAAGTATCTCTAGATTAAGTACGAATTTTGGTTACCTGTCCAATGAATGGCTCTTGTTGAAGTTACTTAAGGCTAGGTTTTACGAAATTACCACTTAATAAACTAATTTAATTGTAAGGCTATGTTAATATTTGCCAAATATTTTTTTTATTAATAATAAATTCATGGTCGATTGTTTGTAAACACACAAACGTAAATAATAGGCTCGATAGAAAAAATGCAAAGATCACTTTATATAAATTTTTAGATCGACTTTACTGATATATTTCATCTTAACTATATAAAAAATATATACAAAAATAGGTTTTGATATAATATAATATTATAAACGAATTTCTTTTATTTGTTTTTTTTTTCTGAGATTATAAGCACGACTCTCGATGCGTATTTGGTTGCATATATGTATGGGAACGTAAGCGGAGGCACTAGTGGGCCTTAACATATTATATAATTATATTGCGTCATCAAACTCTTCTACACAGAGACCATGAATACAATTTCCAAATAGGTTGGATATAACTGCTATTCGAGTAACTCTCTTATCGATGCAATAAAAATGAACAGTAGTAATGGCACATAGACTTTATAGAGGCAATACTGTTGTAACACTATTTTATTAGGAATGAAAATTGTCTGTGCAAATGGAACTTGTAGCTGGTTCAAATGTCAGGTGAGTGAAGGAATTATATCCTTATTTTTACCCCTGAAAGAAACAAAAGTCTTAAAAATTTAGACAACGTTTCAACGTAGAAAAAAGTTGAACCAACAAAAATCCGTCGTAGAAAAATATGTGGAAGTGTTATCGAGTTTTTATTATTAGTAACGGTTTTTTAATTTAAAGAAACTGCATAAAGATGGGCGCCTAATTTCATATTAGGCGCCCATCTTTATAAAGCTTGAATGCATAGGAAATCGTTGAGGAATTTAGGCTTATCCATTTAGATAGAATTATTGATTATCATATGCAGAAACACTCAATCTTTAAGTTATATGATCTATTAAAACTATGACTTCCGACAATTATAAATAATGTCTTTATTCGTTTCTTATAAGTTAAGTACAAGGCTATTGGAACAAGTAATTAAACCCAACGACTTTTTTACAACCTTCAAAACATTTACTCTTATCTCATCTCTAACTCTAAATATTATAAGTCAAATATTCCCACTATTTTAACTCATTATATATAATTCTTGATTTTTCTCAATTATTTTAACGGTTATTACAATATATTGCCTTTTAAGATCAAGAATCAATGCACTTCTAAAAGCTATAAGTGACTTCATCTGCATAAGTCCAATCTTTCTTCTTTTACCCCTATCAAAATTTATTACACATAATATATCCACGCACTCTCAATGGGATTTTGAAAAGCAGTTTTTTACCAATTACACGACTATAATTTATATAATTCAGTTCATATATAAATCAAAGGGGAATGAATCAAAATTGTGTTATCGGAAAAATACTTTTTTTATTGTTTTTACTTATATTAATTAATCATATTTATTTATTTATTATATCACTGGAAGAACTACAGCTAAAAACAGAAGTGATAGTAAGAATAGAATACTTGAATAATTTACATGTTAAACCTTTGCTTACTTGTATACAATTAGAATTACCACTTGGAAAAGTAATTGCTTAACGCTTTTCTTGCCGAATATGGACTAGTTTTAAATATATAAAAATTAATAGAATTACAAAAGTTATAATAAACATAATCCACTATACTTTAAAAAATAAAATCATAAATTGTTAATAATAATCTATCCTAAAATGAAAACCAACAACAAACAGAACTGGAAACTATAGAAATTTTTCCCACATTATAAATGATACCACTAAAATTTAATTTATTAAATAAACTAGCTGTTGTCCCACGACTTCGCGCGCGTAAATTATTGCTTAGGTCAACCCCGTATGATGTAGCTGCCCGTAGGTGAAAGAATCTTTGAA